CAGTTCCCCACCAGGTCCACCAGCAGAGGGCGGGAACAATGCTAGTTTACTATTGGCTATTGCAAATTGAAATAGCCAATAGTAAACTCTCAATGCTTTTGAATGGGAATTTTTCCTCTATTCTGACATCGCTCGTGCCAGAATGAAGAAAAAAAGACACAGCGCGGTTTCTCTCCTTGGCGGCCGGGAGCGGGGGGCTCCCGGGGCCCCAGGTAGAGTTTTTACATTTTTTTTACTTTTTTTTTTTTTACAGCAGCAGAGCCGCCGGACAATAGGAAACTATTGGGCGGAGCTAGCTGTCACTGCTAGCTCTGCACAATCGTTTTCTATTTACTTTTTTCACTCTTTTTCTGTTCTGCTCGGTGCCTCTGAGGGACCGAGCAGAACAGCCGAGCCAAATGCCGCTTGGCGGCATTCGGCTATTCTCTCACTGCTGTTCGGGATCTTTCAGAATAGCCCGAACAGCAGTGTGAAGCCTGCCGGAGGTTCGGCTCAGCCGATCCAGCTGTTGGATCGGCTGAGTCGAACTCCTTCTGCACTTCGGATCAGCCGAACATGCTGAGCATGTTCGGCTGATCCGAAGCCACACGAAGCAAGCCGATGTACGGCTGATTTCAGCCGATATACGGCTGAAATCAGCCGTACCAGCCTGAAGTGAATAGCCGAACAGTGTTCGGCTCACTTCACTTCTGATCGGTCATTCACTCGGCTGCCCTCGGCAGCTTTGTGAATAGACCCCTAAGTATCCCCATTGGATGATTTCCTCTATATTCCTATTCCGATGACAAATCAAAATTTTTTAATGTTCTGTTACTGTCAGTCCCAGTAACAATGGCCACCAGGTCATATATACAGTAAATATCAGTAACAGAATTCTGACAGGGCTTTTAACCACTGTAACCTAATCTAAAAAAAAAAGTTTTGGCTTTAGATACCTTTCAACAGCACATATTCAGATTTTTACAAATTCCCATTGGTTAATGGTTGTCTTTAAGGTCCGAAAATTACAGTCATCTGAAAACATCAGAAATTGTTTGGTCAGGAAGTTGAGGAGAAATAAGTCAGAATATACAAAATATATCAAGTGGTATACAGTTTAAATATATGTATATTTATATATATTAAT